GAAGGCTAGCGAGGCGAGACAAGAATTCTAGGGAGACCGTCATTCGAACGAGGGGCTGCCAAGAGGCAACCTGGCTAACTGGGCCATACTGTCTTTGTGAGCATGGTGGTCATAACAGAGCCATGTGCATCCCGAAAATGAGACTTCGGAGTCTCGAACATCCTTCCATAGCCATGTTTCAGAATAGCCGATGAATCAGGGTTGGTCTCAGGACTCCAAATTCAACTCGCTCATTAGACAGCCTGCCAGCATTCCTACGTGTCAGAAACAGTACCTCACCTACTTCTGTACCCGCATAGCGATAGGTTTCTTTGTACGCTTTCGTACTGCTTGAAAAATGCTTTAGTATCACTTTGGTTTCAGTGCGGCTCCAGGGATCTTTGAGTAGGGTGACATCAGCTTGTAGCTTCTCTCTATCCTTCATTGAGTGATCTGGACGTATAAGTCACTGCATCTCTTTTAGCCGAGCGCGTCGAGATGAAAGACTTTGAGCCTCTCCGATAATTTACAGTGCAACCGCCAGTGGTCTGGGACTTTACTAGTCCTGTTGTTTGTCAGTATCAATCGAATGCTTGGAATTCATTCCTTTGTCACCAGGTTCAAGCAGCTTTTTGATAACCGCTTCCCAACCTCTTATATAATCACCATACCATTCCCTTGCCTGAACTCTATATTAAACACCACGCATTGCTCGCAAGATGCGCCTCGGAAAGTTTCACACTTGTTCGATAGCCGGGTGTTGGTACTCGGTAGATGCAGTGCTCCTATCGGGGTGGACGGTGGTTCAAGTACCCTTAGAGCCTCGGCAACGTAAACTGTCTCCAGAGGCAATCCGGGCAGGTTGTTTAACAGCGAAATCTGTAATTGCTTACCTGCACCTTTACTGCATCTAATTTTCTTATGCTCTGATCTCGCAGATACCTTTGCACGGCGTATCTGATTGAGCCCGTTTCTGCAGCATTCTGTTTGTCAGCATTTGATTTTTCGTCGGTATCAGAAGGTGGAAATTTCTTGTCCCTTATTATAGAGCAAGGATGTTGTAATGTTTCGACACCGTCCTCATAATGATGAACTCTGTCACGAGCCAATTCCAGGAAATTTCGGTGAAAAAGCTTTGAACGCGCGTCTTCAATGCCAGGCCTAGGATTGCAGAGCGACATCGCGTGACCGCATACGCACGTGCCGGTAGCCAATAAAAGCCGTAAACTCGAATTTGGAGAGAGGTCGCTATCGTATCGTCCCGCTCAACATGTTAGTTGGAAAATCTCTGCCTGACTTTGATACGAGTCGGCAATGAGTTGACTGACCACAGCTCTACTTGAATAGAATCTCACAGATTCAAGAAAGGGCTAATGGATCGACTAACTCGGTCGTACAATTTTGCATTCTGCATTCCTGAAACTTGTTACCACGAGGATCCATGGAATTAAGTTGAAACCCAGTGTATCGAAGTCATCTAATCGAATTGGTTGGCGATATTGTCTATCTGGGAAGTCGTACCGGTTCAGGTGGTATGAACACGGACGAAATTATCTTCCAG